AACATGCATGTTTTTGGTCTGTGGGAGGAAACCGGAGCACCCGGAGAAAACCCATGCATGCACAGAGAGAAAATGCAAACTCCACCCAGAAAGGCCCCTGGACCGGGGTTTGAACCAAGGACCTGCTCGCTGAGAGGCAGCAGCTCTACCAGTTGCGCCACCGTGCTGCCCCTGAAATGACTCAACAAAAGAAAAAAGAAACCGTCCAGATGACCTGACTGAACATTGTTGGATTAGTAACCTGGATTATTGAGCATGAAGACAACTGATTTTGATGTTTCTTAGTGTTTGCTTGAACTGCTTTGAATTTTTTTTTAGATTAGAGTAGACTGCTGTGATCTGTCGTTGCCTTGGTCTCACTCAGACCAACTCTTCGCTCTTCTTCCTGGTCAGAATTAAACTAATCCTCCAAGCTAAGGTTGTTCATAGAGCCGTCTACAACAAGTAAGATATTAACTTTCATTAATCATCCTACAGAGTCTAAAACGATGTGTGCTATTACTACAAAAAATAACCTAAAGATACAATAAAATTTAAAAGAATAACAGTAAAGTGTTGACATGGGAAAAAGAAAGTCATACCAAATACATATTTGTCTTGATATCTACTTCAAGCCCAAGAAAATAAAAAAGTATTAACTTCAAGGCAACAAGGGTCCTGGTCACAGAACAGACCAACAAATGTGTGCAAATAACAATTTCAACTGGGATCTGATTTCCTGTTGCACATGGTGTAAGTGGTTTTCCACACAACAGCAGGAGAACCCGTAAAGTTGCTGTTCTTGCTGTGAAGTATCACTATTTCATCTTCTTCGCACTACTTTAATTTTCATGCAAAAGTTGACTCGTGTTACAGAGGAAAGAACCGAAATGTTTTGCTTTGTGGACACATTTTTGTGCCATACAACGTTAAAACAGAAACAAATGATTGCTCCTTGTGAACCTCCTGTGTGCAAACAGGAAGTGTAATTTTTGTGTCGTAAAAACTAAATGCAGTTTTAAGCAGGATTGGTTGTGAATGGAAAAAAAATGCTAACTCTAAACTGCAGATGAAATTTAAAATTGTTTCCTTCTGCTGGATTATATATTAAAAAAAAACCAGATTATTCCTTCTGGGAACGGTTGCCTTTATGATTTATTTCACTCAAAATCTTAAGGAAGTGAAACTCATTATTACACTGGGTGAAAACCGTTGTCGCCATTTATTTTTGTGCTGCACAACTGATGATTTGGCTCAATCTGATTTGGAAACTAAACAAGATCAAATGAGCAGCGGGGATCATATCCACTCAGATGATGGCTAATAAAATAGCTGGAGGTGTCTCTTTGAAATGGGTCCTGACATCTCTTTTCCACAGCCTGTCAGGAGTATTTGGTCACTAATTTGAAACCTGCAAATTCTGTGTGTACGCCAGCAAGAAGAAAAAGAGGAAGAGAGCAAGCTCCAGTGGGAGGTTAATAGAAGAGGTGACCAAAAAGAGATGCCCGGGGCTGTTATCTGTTCAGCCGATGAGAAGACAAGCGATCCACTAGCTGAATTGTAGCTGCTGTCGGATCTATCGAGTCGCCTGCTAATAAGCTTGGCAAGTACATTGTATTTACATTTAAAGTGGCTGTCGTGGGACAGTCCTCCCCTTCAGGTTGATTGGAAAGTTTTTAGCTTTGATTCACAGCTGACCTTCAGTCTTCTTTAGTTTCAGCCTGTCAGTCAAACCTGAGCTGCTGCTGTGACAAGTCGCCTGTTGATTTCTGGCTTAATCCTTCGTAGTTTGGCTCTCGATGTGTTGCCACCCCAGAGGGGTCCTCATTAGGGCCAAAATGTTGTGTGACCTTTAAGCAGCTTGGCCTTCCTCCACCACCCAGCTGGGTCCAATTACCTCGCTCATTACTACCCCACCGTAACAGGTGCCGAAGCTATCTACGGAGCGCCAATATGTCTGTGACTAAATACAACAAGCTCTGAAAATGGCGGGAGATTTTCTTCTTTGTCTTCTCTCTCTTTCCTTTCGCCCTCTGTTCATTAAATGTATATTTGACCTTCCCTGCTCTCTGTCGGTTTCCTTTCAGCTCCTTTTTACCGTGCCTCAGAAGCTACAGGCTGTTGCCTAAAATAGGGGTCCTTTTCTCTGCTGCCATGTTGATAGGGTGATAGGATGATCAATGTTTGCATGGTTCTTAATAGGCAGAAAGTGAAAAGGCTATAGAAGAAGAGCGAGAGAGATGAATGAATATCCTAAAAGTAGCAAACTTAATTAGGTAGAATCCTGCATACATTGTGGCCTGAGTCCAATCATTGGGATAGATTAAAATACTAATTAAACAGACCCATTGCCGAATTTGGAGTGTGGGGTGGGGTTCAGCTCTTCAGGGTCATTTGCATAGCCCTCATCTGTGGAGGAGATTTAAAGGACCTGCTCTCTTCCTCCAATTTTCTTTTTCCACACTACCAATTGCATTCAAATGCTAACAAACTCATTTAAGTGATGCTGCACTTCTCTCCTTTCCCTCTATACTTTAACCTATTAAGGCCCCTTTGATTTTGTTTTCTAATATAAACGCCTCCATCAAAGTAAGGAGGAGGATGCTGAGCATGGGGAGGAGGAAAAAGTCGGCAGAGCTGTGTGATCTTTAGTGATGGATATTTAATGTCACCTCACTTTGGCTTAATTTGCATGAGAATATCCTCTGTGAACAAAGCATTGGAAATAGCATGCCATATTTGATTAGATCACAAGATCTGAGGATCAAACTCGAACGGTGTATTAATTACTGCAAGAACAAAGGCAGGAGCTCGTCTTTTTGTGTGTTCTGGATGTACAAGCACTTTGTCTGCTTTCTGGTAATCTTCAACAAATATAGATATTTGTTCATAATGGTGTTGTTATTTTAGATGCATCCTCCTTTGGTGGTTGATGCTACAAGCAAACTTGCATGAAAGCTTTGGGAAATTGTTTTACGCCGGATGTCCTTTTTGATGCAACCTCAAACCTGCAGCCTCACGCTTACAAGACCGCAACACTGACCACCGAGCTACCGTAGCCCTGTGTTTGTCCATAAGAGAGAGCTGCATTTTAATTAGCACATTTACTGTGTGATGTTTTCATCCAGTGTATATCCATTCCACTCTCTTTTCTATTATTTCAGTATGATGAACCCTACAAATGGATAATCTCTTCACTTCCTCTCCCATGTCAATAAAAGTTTCTCGTCATCGTCTCATCGATTAACAATGTATAGTTTTTGATGATTGCCTTATTTTTCACCTAGTACTTTTAGTATTTGTTTTCATTATTATTTTACAAGGTTTAAAATAAGGCCAAAATTCTTGAGACTGTTTTTAAGATCCCATGAATGAAATATGCATGAAGAAAATGCATCAGTTGTTGGAAATGTAGGTACGTATGGTGTCCCCAAGACAACCTTCATCACCATTGCCCCAAACTATCCTTAGCAATGCTTTATTTCTCAACTCTGACCAAGTTATTTTAAATTTTAATCTCAAGATTATTGTTTACAACTATTGAAGTGGGGTTCTGTGGAAAATGTATGTTCAGTCATCCAATTCGTTGCTTTTTGATTAGCTTCAATTTGAAGAAATTTCTTTTAAATTTGATGAATTGATGAGTTCATCAGAGCTGGGCCAGAAATAAAAGTGGTCTGCTACCATAGTTAAACAACTCCAGTCTCCTAAATTCCATAATCAGTCATTTGAATACTATTTTATAAACTTTTAACATTAAATTGTAAATAGCCATGACTAGGATGCACGTGCATGCTAATCTAACAAGTTCAATATTATACTTGCTGAAAATGTCCATGTAATGTTTCACCATTAAATGGTCATGTGTTTGGTATAGCTACAACTTCTGAAACATTTTTTTTCTCCAAAAAATATAACATACTACAATAAATAAATAAAGAAAAACAATTGCTAAGATTTAAATTGTAAAATGGCTAGATCTTTATCAGTGGTTTCACCTCAAACTGTTCATGCCAATAAAATACAGCAGCCTTTTCCCTGATTACTTATAGTCACAGTAATGTCTTAGTCTGAACAGCCACATTTTAAGTTGTTTGTTAAGACCATAAAATACATTGCATGAGAATGTTTGAAACAACAAGGATGATAAAAGTGCCAACATGTTGGACTTATAGTGATTGATAAGAACAAGGTCTACCTGTTGGAAGAACTCCGTTCAGGACTCTTGGATTTTCCACTTCAGCTTTAATATCAATGCATTTTTTTAAGAACAATAAGGGGAATTACTTAGAATTGGAGGGAAAGCATTGGTCATTGCATGCAGTTTATTTGTCCACATGACATTTTATGTGTAACTCATTCATAAGCACTAAGGGTGAAATAATTTGGTTACTTTAGTAAGGGATGTAATACCATTTATTTTGTATTAATATTTGGTTTCAAGAGAAAACCTCAAAGTTTAACATCTAACAGCTCATTTTGTCATTGGTGCTTTAATTTCGGTCCTTGGATTCAGCTGCCACGTTGTATCAGCAAATACATTATAGTTTAGGTTGTGAAATCTGTTTTTAGTACGTTGTAAAGTTGAGTGTTCGGGACTGAGCTTGGGGTTAAAGTTGGATTTTTGATGAAACAACTTTCCGTCCAGTGCTGTAATAGAAGTTACTTCCAGCAGGACTGCTACAATTTGCATTAGCTCTGACTCCAGTGTCAGCATGTTAAAGGTGTCTGCCTGCTGGAACAGGAGAGAAATGAACTGGAGGACTCTCACAGGGCTGCTGGTATGGCTGCAGGCCATCTAAAGATTTTATGTGCTCTTGGTGAAAATTTGATGTGTTTGTGTGTGGGCTGTGGGCATTTTCTATGACCAGTTTGACATCTGACTCAGGCTGATACATTCATTGCATCATTCTCAGTTTCTGTAACCACTTGCTCTGCCTCGGGAACTGAAAAATCTGCCACTTTGTCATCCGCTGCTCATTGCCACCTCAAACCTCCTCTGCTTTTGTCTCCCCATGCAGTCCAGCAGAAGCAGCAGTTGGAGAAGGAGACAGGCCTGAAGATTGTGGAGGCTGGAGTGAGCGATGTAAGTAAAATTCACTAAAATGAAGGAAACCGTGCTTATGGTTGTGCACATTCTCTGTGTTTGGGCTCATGGAATAGGAGTAATGTGATTACAACTCGTATTGGCATTTGCAGCTTCATCAGTGCAGCCAAGCACAAATCTTTTACTGCAAAACTATCCAAACGTGTATTCTATTAAGTGCACCACTATGACCACTGCCACCTTAATTTATTTAATTAGTACTTCTTTAAAAAGTCTCCAGTTAATCCAAAATGCTGCTGCCAGAGTCTTAACTGGAGTAGGAGAGATCAGACTGTATCTCTCCAGTTTTAGTTTCTCTCCTGTGGCTCCCTGTCAAATCCAGAATTGAATTTATAATCGTACAAAGTACTTCTAACCTACAAAGCCCTCAACAACCTAGCTCCATCTTATATTTGAGATCTTAATGTTCCACATTTTCCCAACAGAGCACTTGGTTTTCAGACTGAAGGCTTACTCGCGGTTCCTAGAGTTTCCAAGAGCAGAATGGGAGGAAGATCTTTCAGTTATCAGGCTCCTCTCTTGTGGAACCAACTTCCAGTTTCTGTCCATGAGGCTGACACATTGTCCAGTTTTAAGACTTTCCTTTTTGATAAATCCTATAAATAGAGTTGGCTTGTTATGCTGCCACAGGCTTACACTCCTAGAGGATAAATTATCCTCATTTCTTTAAAAGAATTGTTAAAATTGAATAGTTTTCATTTGATACTATTTCTATCTTATCATGTGATTCTTGACCTGCCATTGTGTATCTGTTCCTCTCAAACCCAGCCGATCGAAGCAGATGGCCACTTGTCCTGAGCCTGGTTCTGCTAAAGGTTTCTTCCTCATGAGGAAGTTTTTCCTTTCCACTGTCGCCTTCATGCTTGCTCAAGATGAGAGTTCTGTGATGGAGTTAAACTCAAATCAGTCTGCTCCTCAGATAAATAATGTTAAATTATTATTTTTATATAATAATGTTTCTGTTCAGTGTCCTGAGATGAATTCTGTTGCGACTTGGTGCTATATAAATTAAATGAATTTAATTTAATTTAATTGATTTATTTTAGGTATGTGTTTGTGAATTTTCTTGGTCATCCAGGTCGTGATCAATAAAATAAAAAAAAATAAAAATAAAAAAAACGTACGCCAATTCTAAAGCTGAAAACATTGAGCTTCCCATCTGGAAGTCTTTATCAATTCAAAAATATCTGGCCTGTGTGAAGTTTCCAAGCTGTATAGATTTGCATGAGAGGCCTGGTCGTTGTCAACCAGGCCTCTCATGCAAATCTATAAAACTTGGAAGTTTGGAAAGCGCAACATCTTCAGCTTCATATTAGGTGTGGTATTTAAAAATAAAACGAGATCAAACCTGATGCACTTGGTGAAAATTATAGCAGTCCCTCTGAGCAACAATAACTGGATTATCTTAAGTGCTGCACTTGTTTAGAGCCCTGATGCTCTGGTTATATGAATTAATAATAAAAAAACTAACTAACAGAGACTCTCCAGATGATCCAGATGAAAGGAGAGTAAATGTGTATTCATTCATCAATAATAAATATTCATATGCATCAAAGGTAAGGATCTAATCAAGCCCCCATTTATGTGCCGTAGCCCTCCATGCTTGCCTTGTAAATGAGTTTCTTTATGTAAATTTGACAGACAGCCTTAGACCCCTGAGCTGTCCAGAACCCAAGGCATGCTGGGAGCTAAGTGGATGTGGTCTGTACCCTGCAGGACAGTTGCCAATGGCAACAGCCATCACACATTGCACAGATAAGATCATTTTCTCATGTTATGCTGTCTTCTTTTGGGCGTTGATACTTTTTATCACTCATCTGCCTCCCACTTATATCTTTTTTAGTTTCGCTCATCTCATTCCACATTGTGTCTTCATCATGTTCCTTCTAATTAACTCTGATTCATATTTCCACCCCCACCCCCCACTTGATTTTCACTCTGACTTTAGTTCTGTTCTTTGTCTACCCTGTCTTCGCCTCCTCTTTCATTCTTTTATTCCTGCTCTGAATGATTCCTGCGCTTTAGCCAGCACCGGTACAGGGCTACGTGTTTGTCAAATTGGGCCTATTTGTAGATAATTAGCTGCAGTAATAGCCTCTCTGCAGGAGACAGTGGTAAGGGAGGGATGAATACAAAGAGAAAAGGAGCAAAAAAAAGATTTTGTCTTCCACCTCTTGGGGAGAACATCCGAGCCTGTGACTGAAGGTGCACTGAATTTACTGTACTACAGATAGTGAGTTTGCAAAGTGCAAATCCTTAAAACACAATAAGAGGATGTTTTATGAAAAGCAGCTTTAATATGGACCTGTGAAGCTCACCAGTTTGCATCTAAGAGTCTGAGAATTAAGGCTAAGTTGGGGGAAATTTTCAGCTTTTGACAGGAGAATATTTGACGTCCGCTCTTCAAAAACATTAGTTTAAAAGGCGTTAAGCCAAAAAGCCCGCTTTCAGTAGATTTTCTCCAAATTGACCGCAGTTATGAGTGAATGCATGCGAGGGGTTGCAGAGAGGGTCGTCTTTAGTCCGCCTATTAGTGAAATATGCTGGATGAAATTGCTCCGTGAATCTATTACATGTACAGAGCAGGAAATGAAGCTGTATGAGTTGTTTTTCTCTGGACTTTTTTCTCATCCCAGTGGTTTGCATCATTAAGTCTTATCATTGACAACTCCCCCACCCCTTCCTGTCTTGGCTTTTATTTAAGAGGTGACAAATGACAAAACAGCTTAGAAGATGTCCAGATAGAGCAGACGTCGATACGAGCAGATGCACGTGAGGATAAGCAAATGTCAAAGTGGGCAGGAGAGATATTTAGTCAATAGGCTGAGCAATATCTACTCTACTATAGATTGTATGGGAGTTGGGTTGCTGAGGACACAAAAAAGGCAAAATATAAAAACACTTTTCTTACGTGTATAAAATAATGTGTTTTCAAAGAAATGGATCTTGTTAACTGCTGTTTCCCAGGTTGGCGCTGCAGACACGCAGGTTTCCTCGCGGCAATTTATGAATCTGTAAATGTATGAAAAACTGAATCTCGGACAAGAAGTAAAGTGGAAAGGAAGTCACGGTTGATGTGGTCCAACCCTTAACTGGTTATGCTGCATACGTAAAGTACAGATTCACAGCGAACTGAAGCTGTATGCAAGAAACGTAATTATCCAACGTTCTCTGCTCGGAGTGTGGAAAATAAAAGCTGGCAGATGATAAGACACATCAGCTCCTCTCTGACATAACTGTTCCTAAACAGCTCTGTGAGTGTCCGTCCCTCGATGCGTCCACCCGCCCTGCCTCGTCGAGTCTTCTTTCTGAGTTAGAGATGAAAACACCACAGAGGCAAAGGATGCTGACAGCCAGAGAAACAAGGGAATAAAACCGATGCTTAGAAACATGATTTGTCATTGGGGAGGTTCATGTCTGTCAATAAAGGCAGATGTTTTTTGAAAAGATTTCAAATATGCCTAATGCTCATGTGATGTGTGTAAGTTCAGCTTGCGCCATCGTTTGGTGTTCTGAAAATGTGAGCGAATGACCTTTAACGTGAAGTCATTTTTAATCTACAAAATATTTTCTTGGACTCAATATTTACCAAACAATTAGAGCCTAAAAGAGATGGTTCGGAGGTTCAGATCTATTGATGAGTGAAGTATGGGTGCAGGTGGTGCTGAAGCACCCCTTGATGGATGCCAGAGGACACGCTTTGTTTTCATCCATTCATCCATCCATCCATTATCTTTTACCTGCTTCTTCCATTTTGGGTCACGGGGGTCGCCGGTGCCCATGTCCGGCAATCACTGTGCGAGGGGCGGGGTACACCCTGGACAGGTCGCAAGTCCATCACAGGGACACAGAGACAAACGAGACAAACAACCATTCACTCTCTCACTCACATCTAGGGACAATTTAGAGTTACCAATCAGACTAGCATGCATGTTGTTGGTCTGTGGGAGGAAACCGGAGTACCCAGAGAAAACCCACGCATGCATGGAGATAACATGCAAACTCCACCCAGAAAGGCCCCTGGACTGGGATTCGAACCGGAGACCTGCTCGCTGAGAGGAAGCAGCTCTACCAGTTGCGCCACTGTGCATTTAACCTTTATTCATACAGGTTAGTCTCGTTGCGCCTTGAGGACTCATTTACAAAAGATACCTGTTTTAAACTAACACAGAAGAGGTAAACACAACAATAGATATAAATGGCATATAAAATGAAAAATAGAAGAAATTATATAAAAATTAAATAAAAACAGCTGAATTATAAAGCGATGATGACTACTGCTGCTAGTGCTAATTTTACTGATGTTAATGCTAATACTGTGAATGCTAGTTCAATTACTTTTAATGCTAATACTGCTAATGCTAGTTCTACCAATTTTAATTTATTTATGTTTTTTTTATTTTTTTTTATTCTTTCGGTTTCTCCCTTCTTCAGGGGTCGCCACAGCAAACTAAGTCTCACGAAGACTTGGCAATTATTTTTACACCGGATGCCCTTCCTGATACAACCACACACCACCGAGCTACCACAGCCTTCTGTGTGGAGCAGAGAGCTGCTATCTAGGGTACCCAGGGGAGCAGATGGTGGGCGGGTTAAGGGCCTTGCTCAAGGGTCCAGAGTGGGGCAAATGAGGGTGGATAATGCTAGTTCTATCAATGTTAATGCTAATATTGTTAATGCTATTTCTATTACTGTTAATGCTAATATTGTTAATGCTAGTTCTATTACTGTTAATGCTAATACTGCTTATGTTAGTTTTATTACTGTTAATACAATTGTACTCCATACATCAACAGTTCAGTTGGAGCCAATTAGATATGGCTGCCAAAGTCAACTGACCTTAGAAAACACAAAAACTGCTAAAATGTTTAAAATTTACAGGTATTGAGCTGAACTTTTGTGTGGTAGTAGTTATGAGTCATCCCTAACATGTACAGTGAGGGCTAACCAATCATCTGGCAGCACGACAGCTCAGTGGT